TATTTGCTTGTGATAATTCTAAATATAGCCAGTTAAGGTTTCTCATTGTGGTTCTTTACATAAGATCCAATCTTCCCTATTTCTCTATCACCACTGTTACTGTTTAATCCTGGCAATATTGTGTGGGGACCAACGACACACACAGCTCCCTGCATAAATAAGAGAGAAAACCCTGAATTTTAAGATAAAGTTGTAAAGAGTGGACTGTGCTTTCTCTTTCTGTTCATTATTTTTTTATAAATAATTGCTGTAACTATTTTTAATTATAATTTGACTTTAAAACCATCCTCTAAGTAAATACAAGTGGTAGTTTGCATTTCCCTACGTCTGCTGGTTGCAGTGAGCTGGGAGGGGATTGTGGTGACTGAGAAACAGTAACGAGCGTGTGTCATTCATTCCAATTTTCTGTGGTATTTCTTAGGCATTTGCTAAAAAGGCTGTAGTTATGCTTCTGTGAAAGTTATTTGTGCCAGATCCACAGATGGTGTGGTGGTACAAGTGGGTGCTAGCTTGTCCCTAGAACGTGTTTCTTGCATCAGCTCCCAGCTGGACAGAAATCTTTTCATCCGTAGCAAGTCTCTGGTGTTTGTAGGGTGGGTGATACTCTCAATTATTTGGTCTCTGCCTCTCTTCATGTTATTATTTACTTGCTAAAGTAAAAAGGTTTTGCCAAAACTTTAATAATAATAATAAATAAATAAATAAATAAATAAATAAATAAATGAATCCTCAAATGATGAGGTCTGTACTGTCCAGTTCTGGTTTCTTTCTCCAGCAGTGCCTGGGCACTGTGAAGAGGAAATTTCTTCTCTGCTTATCTGTCAGAAAATACTGGCTTCAAGCAGTTATCAATCTGTGCATGTTTTTACAGTCAAGGGAGAGAAAGCCTGTTCATTCATCACCCAAAAGAAATGCCACTGGCTCCGGGAAGCTAGCTGAGAGATAAACCTTGCTCTGCCACCCTGGGTCTGCTTAGACCTCGCGTTGTGCTCTTGACATGTTGTCCTCAATTTGAATGCCATCCCTGGGACACCCTTGGCACATCATCTCTCTTTCCATTCAGTATTCTCAAAAAATGTTTGTGCTGTCATTGGCTTGGCCAGCCCAAAGAAGGGAACTCAGATCTGCAGTAGAGGCTGTATTTTAAATAACCTTATACCTTTCGTTTCACTAAAAATGTGCAAGCAGGAAAATTGTGCAATAAACTTAATGTTAGGAGACCATTTCATCTGGTACTTTCAGAGCAGCAGTGGAAACTAATCCAAATTTAATTACAGTGTATTGTTAAACAGATACAATCTTCCATAATCCCATAGTATTCTCCAATTGCAGTATAATGACTTTATATTCCTAGAATATTTTTTATAACATCATAATTGTAGAATAATTTTATATTTCTGTAGTTATTCCCATGTAGAAAGAGAAATGGCTACTTCTGTTGCTGTAAGAGCATAAGCTGTTGTTTTCTTGCTATATATGTCCTTTACTAGTATAGCAATTTAAACATAAAAGTCTAAGTATGTTAGACTTTTAAAACTTCCAATTGCAGTTCAAGCATTTAGATTAGTGTCTACTTTGCAGACTGCTCCCCAGACTAAATAATTAAGGCATTTTTCTTCTGGAACTTGGGGGCAAACTTGTTTCCTGGCCTTGAGATGCAGGAGACATTGAAAGGCGACTGTGCGTTGCATTTTTCTTGATTATATCTGCGGTTTGTCAAGGAATCTTTCAACATATAATCCTTAAAATATTGATCTTGCAGAGAAAGCCTGAGACTAGAAGGGATCGTCTGTCATCAAACTTGCTGCTCACGTGGCACCCTGGGAAGATGCTCGTGGAGTTGCATTGCAGGCTCGTTGATCTCACCTCTGTTTTTTTTCCCCACTTGCTGCAGGGACTCTCAGGGTGGGGTTAGGTATAGCTTTGTATATACAAGTATTTTGGTGGGTTGGTTTTGGGGTTTTTTTTTTAATTTTTCATTTAATTATATTGCCTTTCAGCAATATAATTGCCTTCTGGCCTTTTGGGATGGGCCAGCACAAGGGAAATGCCATTGAAAGAAGAGCTGCAGCTGGTGAGGGAGCTGCTGGGTGCAGAGCTTCCCTGTAACCCAAGGCACTTCTTCAAACACTTAAATAGAGACTAACAAATAGAGCTCACTCCAAGTGCTTGTTTTTATTAGCTGGGCTATTTTTTTCTTCTTTGTGAGAGCTGAACTTAAAACTGTAATGAGTATATTAGAGAAATTCTGCAACTAATTGTAACCTATAGAATTCATATATTGATGTTCCCAGTATTTGCATTTATTGAGGTATAAATAAGAGAACGTGGTATACTATATAGTTCAGCTGCTTCCTTGCTTTGTTTTTCTGAGCCTTTTTGCCTATTTTATTTTCATGATGCTTAAGACGAACAGTTTCCTAGTTTTGATTTTGTCCTGGCATTTTTTAGAAGGCTATTTCTTAACCATATAGAATTCAACAAGAGGAATAACATTTTCTGTTTACTGTTTACATTAAAAAAAGCAAAACTTCTGTTTGAAAAAAAAGAGTATTCCAGATGTCTACAGGCAGGAGGAAATGTACATAGTGTACAGTCTAATAAAACAGCAAATATGGCAGAATGATTAAAAAGTGGCTCATATTAGCAAATGGTCTGAATTTAAACACTAGTCAACACCAGGACTTCATTTTAGGTAAGTGAAATTCACATGTGAAATATTAAAATTTAACTTCATAAATACATTTCCTTAGGACCAGGATGTAGAGCGTTTCCATGTCATCTTTAAAACTTCCTTTTTCATTTAATATTGATTAGATTTTCTGAAAAGGAATAAACATAAAGGCATAAAATAATGTAAACCATGAAAGCTAAATACAAAGCAGATATATCAACAGCAAAGATATGAAAGCCAGACCCCTTGTTCCTCAAGTGCAATATGGGGGAACAGAAGAAACCTCTTTGTGTTGCTGTGTTCTGCTCCACTGCCGGCTCGCTTCCCCACAGCAGTGATGGTGGATTTGCTGATCGTTGCAGCCACTCTTTTATTTCTCTAAGTTCCAGTCTCCTCATCCACACCCATTTGGGTGGGCAAATCATAGAATGGTCTAGGTTGGAAGGAACCTTAAAGGTCATCTAGTTCCAACCCCCCTGCCATCAGCAGGGACACCTTCCACTAGACCAGGTTGCTCAAAGCCTCATCCAACCTGGCCTTGAACATTTCCAGGGAGAAGTGATGATTTTTAGATGATTTGAGAACATGATCTAGAGAGCAATTAAATCAATGGAAATCTTTAATGTTGAAAGGGGGCTTCTTTATAGATGCCTGTTGCAGGAGAGAGGTTTGGCTTCAGTGAGAGGAGAATGTCTTCAGTGACTGGGATAATTTGGTACTAATATCGCTCTTGAGCGAGATGGAGGGACGTGGAGTTGCCATCCCTGGGGGCTGTTAAGGAAAGGACAGATGAACTCTAGTCAAACATCTACCAGGTGAAATTTTGTCAGGGAGTGGACTAGCTGACCCTTTCCAATGACTTGCAGTATCAATTTTTAAGGTAATGGTGTCATCATGTCAATCAGATGCTGTTTATGGTAGCCCAGCGTTGCTGAAAAGGTGCAGAAACTGCTTGTGCAGTACTTTCAGAAAATCAGTTTTATGGGTCTGTTTTAAACCCTCACCTGTTTGCTTAAACTTTTCTTATCTTTTTGTCCATCATTTTCAGATAAAACATTACAGCAGTGTTCTCAAGCTGGTTTAATGCTAGTTTCCCTCTTCGTTTGTCTCAATGTAATCCCCTGAAATGTGAAATTTGGAAGGATACCTGCTTGGGTTTGGAAAAGGTATCATCAGGAAATCACATCATTTTTCTGGGAGGTCATCTGAGAAGATGATATGGAAAGTTCAGGTGAACACAAGGAAGCCCAAAGGGCTCACCCACTCTGGGCCCCACAGTTCAGGAAGGACAGGGAACTGCTTGAGAGAGTCCAGCACAGAGCCACCAAGATGATGAAGGGAGTGGAGCATCTCCCTTATGAGAAAAGGCTGAGGGAGCTGGGTCTCTTCAGCTTGGAGAAGAGGAGACTGAGGGGAGACCTCATTAATGTTTACAAATATGTAAAGGGTGAATGTCATGAGGGTGGAGCCAGGCTTTTCTCAGTGATGCCCAATGGTAGGACAAGGGGCAGTGGGTGTGAGCTGGAACACAGGAGGTTCCACTTAAACTTGAGAAGGAACTTCTTTCCAGTGAGGGTGACGGAGCACTGGAACAGGCTGCCCAGGGAGGTTGTGGAGTCTCCTTCTCTGGAGACATTCAAGACCCGCCTGGACGCCTTCCTGTGT